TGATTTATATATACATATGTATCTGCGCCTTTTACCTGTCTCACCTGTGCTGGAAGACAGAACTTTCTGCGCTGTAATCAGCAAAGAAATGAGTAAACAAAACGACATTTACTGTTAATCAATTTGTTAAAATTAACAGCGACAGTTGCATAAATATTTTTTTTTACTATTTCGTATCTTATATATATATAATATAATATAATATAAGCACTTTAAGGCAAGCTATAATGTTGTACAATAAACACAGCTGTTCTGAAACAAGAAGTGCTGTAGAAATTGTGTACGTGAAGGTCGGCTTAAGAATAAATTGGTAAGCCTATACAGTAGAGCCTCCCTTGAATGTACAGCTCGCAATTTCTTTTCTATTTGTAAAATATATATATTATATGTAGGCATATAAGGTAACGCTCTAAAAAAAAATCTAAATATATATTATATATTTTTGTATAAACTTCCATATTTTAGGAAATTTAATGAATATTTTTTAGTTTATACAAAAATAAATATATAATATATTCCGATTTTTTAGGGGGTTACCTTATATGCCTACACATATAATTTTCCATAATCTCTTTTAGATATTCTTCAATTTCCAGTTTACTATAATATATATAATATATACGGGGCAATCATTAAGTTCAGAAGGTATCTTAGACATTGAAAGGTATCTAATATTAAACTAACCAATATACCCTATTCAACCAATTAACAATGGGTATCTAGAGCTTGTAACTTAATGTCATATTATTTGCTAAAATAAACATCATCTGAAATTAAATTACTTTCTGTTCCAATTTATAGATGCTATGTTCGTTCCATCAGAAGTTTTTCATGTTTTGGAAGAACTTTTCTCATAACAGTTGTGCGTTGTTTGTTGTTGTTTGTCATTGTTCTTATTGTTTGCTGTTGTTTGTCATTGTGTTGTTCGTTTATTGGCCGAACAAACATACATTAAATTGTGTTTGCAAGTCGAATTTCAAATGCGCTCTAGAGCTGAAAAGTTGGGGATCAAAAGTTCATTAGAGCTTCGCTTATTTGCAATAATCTTTAGTTTACAGCAAATAAAACTGAACTCAATTTTTGAAGAAGAGCATGTGATCTGTGGGCAAGTCACATGGCTCGTTTCTAGATAAAAAATAAGCTGACTAATGGAGAAACTATCTGAGCCAGAAATGGGTCATTTAGCATTCTTGCTCTACTTTAGTTGAACCTACAGCAGCTGTTCAGATGATAACTTTGGCTCTGCGAACTAGACAAAATATTTCCCCTTTTAAGTGCTTCAGGTATTTCCATGGCAGCCTCACTTAAAAACTATTATTATTCATTAATTCACATAGATATATATTTATTAGCTGAGATCGTAAGCTGAACAATTAGTTAACATTGCATAATTATATGACTGTTATTTAAACTAAAGCAATTAAAGCTCAAATATAAATTTATGTTACGTTTGGATCTGTCAATATTATAAAATAGAATTTCTTACTATTAGTATTGTTGTTGTTGTTGCTGTTTAATTGCTGAAACAGTTGCAGCTACGACGTACCGAATTGCTGTTCGTAAGACGTTCGCGTGCATCATCTATCTATCAGCATTTAAAACAGCTTAGCATGCATCTAAGCTAGCGCACTTACATTGTAAATATTATCATAAGTACAGTGGGCACACGAAATGACGGCAATACTAGAGTACAAGAGTGGGAGCGCATTGACGTTTTTTTATATATAGCATAATCATATAAGAGTACTTTCAATTTATCAATTATTATTCATTTGTCATTGTTCATTATTCATTACTCATTACTCATTAGTCATTAGTCATTAGTCATTAGTCATTAGTCATTAGTCCTTAGTCATTAGTCATTAGTCATTAGTCATTAGTCATTAGTCATTAGTCATTAGTCATTAGTCATTAGTCATTAGTCATTAGTCATTAGTCATTAGTCATTAGTCATTAGTCATTAGTCATTAGTCATTAGTCATTAGTCATTAGTCATTAGTCATTAGTCATTAGTCATTAGTCATTAGTCATTAGTCATTGTTAATTATTAATTGTTTATTATTAATTTTATATATATTTGTATTTATATACAAATATTTACTTTATTTGCATTCCTCCCAATTATTGATAACAAGAGCTTTGATTTCATTACAAATAATCAGCTAAATTAAATAAGAAAGCAAAGCCAAGACAAAGACAAAAACATAAACATACTTTCTATTATCAGTCTGGCAAATATGTGTATCTCTTCCAAAGTATTTCTTATCTGTAAGAGCCAACATTTAATTAGAATCAAGAGTATATATATATATATATGCTATTACATAACTTCTGGAATCACACAAGAACAGCTGAGTAGAGATAATTCAATTGACTATGCAGTTGGTTACCACTGTATCTGCACATGTATGCATACAAATAATTAAAGCAAATGTATGCATGTATAGGCTATATAGTAGTAGAAGTAGTATATGAACAATACGTAATTGCATTGTCAGTCGATTTTCGATTGTATAATTGTTAGACGATTGCAGCAATCGATTTTGATCGATTTTGTTTACAGCCAACATTGCAAGGTCAATTGTAATTGTCTATATATATACCTGTAGATATGTATAAATAACAATATTAACTTATATACAATTTATTTGTTTATCGCACTCTCTAAACGTTTTACTTTCGCTTATTGTAATTTACTAATTGAAAGCAAATATTTTGAAGCCGCCTTTGGCATAGCACGAAATTTAAACTATTGTTGTTGCTATTTTTTAATTGCGGTTGATTTGCATAAGCCTATAATTTAGATTGTTTTTGAATAGTTGATAGTAATTTGAAACGCTTCACGCTTCTGTGCTCCAAAAAATTTGAAACGATTTATGACCCACTTTTTATAAAGACGAGTGACACTTAAGTCTTGTAAAAAAAACTAGCTAATAATTATAAATTAATCAGGATACAAAAATGTAGGTTTATTTACACTGTAAACAATAATCAATATGCAATTCCAGTTGCTGATTCATTTTATGTATTAACTATGCAAGGGAGGGGAATATTCCCATGCCTTAAGCCAACGACCTGCATGACTAAGGGGAAATATGCTGCATAAATAAAGCAAGGTTTAAAAAAACCCACAGAAAATATGAATTTTAATAATAATAAAGAATGTGAATAGAGACACTTATAAGGATATATATATTTATTTCGAATTAAATATATGTTTAAGCAAGCCAATTTAATCCAATTTTGTATGCAGTTTGTCCATGAAGCTTGGAGCTTCTCTTAAAATACAATACAAAGCTTTTAGCGCGTATCTAAAAAAGAAAACAAAATCGAAGAGAGAAAGCCCATGCATTAGAGCACATTTCTAACGGTAACTAAAAGAGAAGTACAAAATAATTGACAGTGGAAATAAACACAACTTTTAGATGACAAACAAATTTAAAGTTTTTGAGTATTTATGTAAGCAAAAATGCATTACAAACTAATTTAAATAATACAATTTTTCCTAGCCAAACTTACTTAAGCAGTAAAAACACTAAGTTAAGATACTGTAAATATCACTCTTATTGCTGTTAAATCAAGGAAATTCAAAAATTGGAATACATGATTCGGAACCGGTCATTGAACGAGCGCGTGACAAACCAGATCACAATTTTGAACTGCACAAACTAACACGTACAACAAAACAACAACAATTACTGCTAATGAATGGAAAGCAAAGCACCCACGCAAGAGTCAGTCAAGGTTCAAGGTGCACAGTTTTTTGTAAATGTCAGCGAAGTGTGCGTGGGTCATTGGTATTAGCCCGACTTACCCGCATATAATAATGCCAAAACATTGCACCAAAGCCGGATAGAAGTTGTCCATGGAGACGCCATCCTCGACGCGTGGCGTAGCAGTGCTGCCGCTGCCGCTGTCGACGTCGCTGTTGACCAAAGCAGCCTCTGTGGCCTCTGCAACGCTATCCCTTAATGCTTTATAATACATGGAGCTATCCATAATGCTGCTGGCAAATTTGTTCACTGGCTTACAACAGCTTGCAACATGGTTGAATAGGGGTGGCAGGTCACTTGAACCGACTGACGCAGCGGCTGTGACGTCAATGGAACCCGCACGCTATGCGACGCCTGGGGCTGTGCAAATATTGAATTTTCACAAAATTGAATTAACAACAATACTAATACACACACAAACACACACATATATATAGCATATGAGACAATTATTTTATAACGCAAATCACTGCGTTCTTGTGGTTTATCTAGTATATATCATATAATTAGCACAATTTTCAGCTTTCATTTTTACGCGGTTACAAAAAATTAACGTATCTATCGGACTGCTGCACTTCTCGCATATTCAATGCATTTTTCATTTCATCCCCTACACTCCACAAACTTCGCTTACAGAATATAATACTGGAAGCTGCGGCAATCTGCTTTTATAGTAAAATTGTCTCGCAATATGTTCGCTCAAACAACTCACATCGCTGAACGAACCAGCCAACTCGTTTTGCTCATTTGGTTCATATAAGTTTGAGCTGTGTTGCACGTTATTTTTTGATTTTTGTTTTCCTTGTGTAAATTGTAGTCCCATGTCTTTGTGGTTGTAATGGACTTTTCTAAGGTATAAAATCAAGTATATAATGTGTTATTCTATTGCGAAATACAAATTTTTACATATCTGTTTTTAGTTGAACAACAATGCACATCTCTATCAAATAGCTGTTACCTCCACCTAGCGATCACAATGGATCCCAATCGATATTTAAAACTATGTGCTTAACAAGTGGTTGTATATCATACTTATATCAAATGGTTTTGTTAATTTAAATATATAAAGATGTAGTTTGCAATAAGAAATAGCTATAGATTCAACTACTCGAAGAAGGGATGGCTATTTGACAAGAAATATATAAATTCTGCTAGTACTTTAATGCTTACCAGGGCTACCGATAGTTTTTTGCATTCGATGTATAAATATCGATAGCCATATACTCAGCTGTTTATTACTTAAAAAAGAAGAAGACAAATTAGTCATCAAACAAAATTCGACGCAAATTTGTTAAAATTTATTAAATTAGTTTTAAAAGCTTACGCAAAGCACAAAATGAATCGACTTTTTGGACGTGGAAAACCCAAGGAGCCCGGACCAAGTCTAAATGACTGCATTACGGGGGTAAGTAACTGTGTAACTGTAAATATGAGTCCTAATCAGCGTTTTCTTTGTAGGTGGATGCTCGGGCTGCAAATATTGAGGAGAAGATTGCGAAATTGGAGACGGAGCTGCGTAAATATCGTGAGCAAATGAGCAAAATGCGTGAATCCCCTGCAAAGAACTCGGTTAAGCAAAGAGCGCTGCGTGTGCTCAAACAAAAGAAGGCGTAAGAGCTAATAAGCTAGAAGGCTGGACCATTAGTTAACGCTATTTTATCTTTGTTTATTTTAGCTACGAGCAACAAGCTGAATCTCTGCGAAATCAATCGTTCAATATGGAACAGGCCAACTATGCCGCCCAATCGCTCAAGGATACTCAAGCCACAGTGGCCGCCATGAAGGATGGTGTGAAGCAGATGAAGACGGAATATAAGAAAATTAATATTGATCAAATTGAGGACATGCATGACGATATGGCAGATATGCTTGAGCAGGCCGACGAGGTGCAGGAGGCCATGGGACGCACCTACGGCATGCCCGAAGTGGACGATGATGACCTACAGGCAGAGCTTGATGCATTGGGCGACGAAATGGCTTTGGACGATGATTCCAGCTACTTGGATGACGTTGTCAAGGCGCCCGAAGCCCCAGACAGAGAACCAGGCGCTGATAGCATTAAGCCGGGCAAGGTAAAAATAAATCACAAAAATTGTTTAGCAAACTTAATACTAATTTAAATATATTTTACTTTGCAGAGCACCATTGAAACGGATGAATTTGGTCTGCCTAAGATTCCAACCTCCTTGAAGACAACATAAAAAGTTGTTTTCCATATACATATATATATGTTCATATTAAAGTTTAGAGGAAAAAAGAAAAAACGCTTCGTTTCCATTTTCAGTTATAAATAACAAAAATCGTTTACGTTTATTTACACAATGCTTTATATATATTTTGTATGCATTTCCGTTATACTTTGAAAGTAAGCCTAATAAAAGGATTTCTACACGAACGCGCTCTTTTATTGCGGTCTCTTAACGTCGCATTGCATTTACTATAGACACAGTCTCTCTTAAATGAACAAAAAGTCAAACCGTTCACTCTCTTGCGGACTGTCTCTCCCTCTCTCATTCACACGCATACGCTTAGCGAGCGTGCTCACATACACCAGCACAGCGACGTGCATGAAGGTAACTGAGCTTTGAAGTTCAGAGCATGAACTTGAGCGGCCGCGCGCGTGTCTCTGCCGCTGTGAATGTTTTCGTATACATGTATGTATATGTTTGTGTGTCTCATTGCACTGCTGTGTGCAAAAATAACGCGTTCGCTTGCGTTTAGTCTTCATCTGACTGCTGTAACGGACGGTCGCAAAATTTCGAACTGAGCAACACAGTCGATCATAGCAGCAGCAGCAACAGCTACTAATCTGAAAAACCTTCGCTTACCCAAAAGAAATCACAGCAAACGCAAATTCAAAAACAAAAATTGTAATTATAATTGCCACGCCCCCGCGGACAATCGAATCCTCGTAATGAAGTGCATCGAAATGCGTTACAAGTGAAACAACCAATCTGTGTCTATCGCATATAGTGCGTGTGCGCGCGAGTGTGTGTGTGCGTGTGTGTGTTAAGGCTGATTCTGATACTGAATCAGCATTAGTATCTGCTGCATTCACTGCCAAAATGCCAAGCAAATAGAGAATTGGCAAAAGTCTTGTATAATTGTATTTTGACCCACCCACCACCCAACCACCCAACCAACCAGCCAACCAGCAACAACAACAGGGGCGATCCCTCACAGTGCCTAAAAGTGTTTCTGTTGTTGTTGTTAATGTAGATTTTAAATACACAAAATATACGCAATATTTACAATCGTTTCAATGCAAATATTTGCCCAGCAGCCATTTTTAGCTGCGAAGTAAAGTGCAACTGTTTTTTATCAAACTAAAAACTGAAGCAACGGTAAACATAATGGATATACGCCAAATTGGATTACTACTACTGCAAATGGTGAGTGACTGAAGACATTGCGCATACGCAGCGTGCAACGATCTAGAATTTACTCAACTAAACGAAAACAGAGTTGCATTTGCGATTAATTGCGAGAGTTGCAGTCGAGCTAGAGAGGAAGAGTGTCAGAGAGTGAAAGATGGGGGAGGGCAGGAGATTTGGGGTGGCTCTTGTGAACAAGTGCAAAAATGCAGGAAGCAAATCGCAATAGACAAACGAAAAAAAGCTTTCTATGCTCACATTTCGTCATCTCATCTGTGTGTATATGTAACTGTGTGCATGAAAGTTCAGGAAAAAATATCGGCAAATGCTAATTCATATATGTATGTATACGTGTGTGTGTGTATCTATGTGCATAAGAGTGCAACTATGAATGGAATGAGTCAACTAACCTAAAGAAAACGAAGAAGGAGAAACGCATTGGGATATTATTAACAAATATCCCTCACTATTTCGGCTATTGTTTGAAAGGAAATTTAGTTTATTAGGATATGAGCAAATCGCTTTAAGGGAAATGTAAAATTTAAGAGTGGGAAATTGCCTTTAAGACAATTCTAATTCCCGTAATTTCATAAAAATGAAAGTAATTTAGATAATGCTCAGTTCTCAGTTCTTTTAACGATGATTCATTGCTTTTTTCGTTTTTCGAAAATGTTGCAATATGTTCACGTATATGTGGACTATATTCTTATTCTTCTTTTTTTTCTGACTGCTGTTCAATTTGAATGTTTCTTTTCGACTGCTCGAATTACAGCTTCGGTCTTGGAGTCACAGCCAGAGCAATGTCCCACTTTTTCGGCTTCGAATATTACAATTTACCAATAATTAAAATTCGAGACAAAAGAAGCGCTATAATAAAATCTGCTAACAGCGCAAATTTTTTAGTAGCTTTTGGTTTTTGGTTTTTTATTTTTTTCTTATATTATTTATGCTTATGTCGATTAAGTTTTGTTTTTGGCCAAAAATATTGGCTATGCAAATGATGGGTGCGACCTTCGACACAGAAAGTGACGAGCCAATTAATTAATTTATCGATTTTATTATCGATCAAGCGGCTGAAACTCAGATCAAATGATCTCGAATGTTTATAGCTGTGCTGAAGATAAATTATGTTTTCGTTATTTGAGAAATAAGAAGAAATTTCTCATGCTGACCATGGCTAGCTTAAGTTAGTTTCTTCTACACAATTTATTCTAAATAAATTTGTTGCTTTCTCCTGTGTATTTTGTCATAGTACATCTTTATTCTATATACAGACTTTTATATGTATTTTATTTGCATTTATTTCCAATTTGTCACCTGCTATCGATATTAATGATAAATATCCCAATTAATGTCCCACATCTAATTCTTACATCCCCCTCACCCAGCTCCCATCAAAGTTCATCCTACTCGCGTGCAGAACGTCGCATTCGACCCACATATGAAAGAATTCACCACGAAAAAGGAATCGGCGAAAAAACACTGACCAACCTCACAATCGATGCGAACATTTATTTGCCCGCCTTCCGCAAGCAAAAACAAAAAAAAAAAACAAAAAGAAAAAAAGTAAAATCCATCAAAAATTGAAATGAGACTTGGCAAAGGGCACTGCGAGAGCTTTTTTTGCCGTTTGTTGTGATTGTGCCGATTGCCATTGGCCGATAAGGCTCGGCTGCTCCTGTTTCAACTTCGACTCTGCTGCTCTCCCGCTATACCCTCTCTTTAATCAATTAGCGCCTTAGCCTATTGCTGCTGTTGTTTTTGGTTTTGTTACTCTTCTAATGCTCTAGCATAGAAGTGAGAGCGAGTGCGATCTAAACGTTTGCAAAGGCAATGAACGCGAGCGCGCATTTTGCTTTGTCTTTGTGTGCGCGCCTATGTGTGTGTGTTCGCAAACACGCTGTTGTGAAGCTTTTGGCGTTTTCTTCCGATAACGGGCACACATACACGTGCAGTTGCGCCTGTATGTGTGCCTCGCGTCAGTTCGCGTCAGTTTTTCCTCCCCGGTGTCGCATGACCCTGGCCTGCTATTGAAGCTAGACACATTCGGAGGCCAATATAAAGCGCAACCATTCAAAATATATACTAAGCATGTTGCCGCCGATGTCGGCAACAAATGCACATGTGCACACACAAACACACATGTGCCTGACAAATGTGTGCGCCTCTCTGTGTGTGTGTGAGTGCATGCTTGTTATTGCATAGTACAAAACCTTTTTGTAATTGTAATTGTGCGCGCATTCGATACTTTTCTTATTATTGCCTGTTGTTGTTGTCGCTATGTCTAAAATGAGCTATGTATGGTAGGAGGGCGGCGATGCACTCATTGCAGCAATTGGAAAGCTGGAAGCAAGTGCAAGTGCAAGTGCAAGTGTATGTAAGTGTATGTGTATATGTACTAAAATCTAAATACAGGGAAATCTTACTAAAGCGAATATATAGGACTTTCTTTGCTATAGATCTTGATAGAATTGATTGAAGGTATAAAAGTAAACACGAATTTGTATAATTATACAATATAATACAATACTTGAATAATATTCAAGATTTGTAGTGCAAGGGAGCTTTAAGGTAAGAGTGTTATGGGAAGTAAAATAATGGGACCTAAAAAGAGCTGCAACAGTAGGGAATTGAAACAAAGGGAACTTATTAAAAGATTGGAACTAATATGTAGGGTATATAGAGAAAGAGGATCAAATTGAATCTAAAATATTGGGAATTTTAAGGAAGACAATCCATAAGGAATTTAAGGGAATGAAGATAACTTTTAAGAAGAAAGTAAAATGGAAATTCAAATGAAGTCAATTCTTAAAATGGATTTCAAGCGGTAACAAAAATAGAGGTTAATTTTTGTTAGTCGAGCCTTTACTGTATACAAAATTAAATATAAAAATTAAATAGAAATATGCATAGTTATGTACGCATGTGCAGATTTAAAGAATTTTTATGAATATTGGCATTAGCTATAATTCCTCTTTTGTTTTAAGATGAAAACCCGTTTCAAAAAGAATTGGCAGGCTCTCGAATTTCTAGAGATGATATTATACGTGATTTATGTAGATATATGTATGTTAGCTGATGTGAAACATGTGTTTGCGTTGGTCATTGAGAATTGTAGAGGTAATGCCACTTGATAGGTAATTCCCCAGCCAAACAGGTGCGACACTAGCGTTAACTTGGCTAAATTGATAAGCGTACAGCATGGCGTATACTTGATAAAGGGCAACCTTCCAAATTATTACGCATACGCAGTGTGTAAAGAATCGGGTTAGAAGCCAACGGCCTTCAAAGCTTTACGCAGATGTATACGAAAACTAGTTCTAAAATGAATGTATTTATATATATAATATAATGTGAATACATATGTGTGTGTGTGTCTATGTATGGGTGTTTGGCGAGTTATTAAAAGTCATAGCAGACGCATCAAGTTAAAGTCGTTGAGAGTCACGTTTTGGTTTTGTTGTAGGTCTGCGACCGTTAATTTTTCCATTTACAACGTTCTCTTATAGTGTTTTTATTTTGTTTGCTGCTTAAAAAGTTCACGTCCAACAACAACAAAAATATGGGGAAAAAAGAAGCGTTCGAAAAGCACATACTGCCAACTCAACGTAAAACTGCGAATCGCTTTTCAATTTTGATATCGTTTCGTTTTTTTTTTTTATGAAGCTGCTGCCCCCACTCTACAACAACAACAACACCAGTCGCAGCAGCAGCAAACTCAACATTCGGCACATTGAGGTTCAAGGTAGCAACGAAACGGCGCTCGACAAGGCCAAGTGCAAACCGTGGCGTGTCTCAAGCTCTCGGCACTTGATTATGCATGCTTTAGACACACACATCAAGATATGCGCACATTTAAATATATATATTTATATACATATATACAAATATACATATATTTCAA